TTATAAGGTCGTTACCTGATGGTCTTTCTTATTCCGATCTGACATATGTCAGTTCGGAATGGACATAGATTCCGATCTGACATAAATTCCTATCTGACATACAACAGTTGCGAAATTACTTATGAAAAAAGATATGCATATACAACGAATAAAAACGCATCAACAACAGATTTGGATCAAATGATGAAGGCAGAAATTTACTATGCGGTAAAAAAAAAATTCATCTTTCGTATTGATTTTTGAAATAGCATAGCCATTTTGATATGCTGAATTTTTTAGTGATAACTTTTGGTAGTCTTGATAGTTTAGTAAAAATGATGCCGTTTCGGCATTCTTGGGCGTTTTATACACTACCTTTTATTGATAGTAATTTGTAGCAGTTGGTAGTGGTAGCGTAAAGATGGATGATAGAATAGGATATGGAATGACACCCAAACCGTGAACTTTGCTTTCATACATCTAAATTATGTGAAGTGAACTGAGCACTGCGTCATTACTGTCATTGTCACACCCTCCCCCAACGCGCAATAGAATGATTGCAATTCTCACGGCTATAATGTATTATTACACATGAAACGCATAATAACAAAACCGTTCAAGAAATCTTAGCATTAAGAAAATAATTTTAATTCTCCAGTTTTCCGGTAGTGTAATAGCCTTTTTCAAGCGTATCTCTCATTCACATTCTATAGACCATTTGATACCATTTCCCCAAACTACCGGGTCTACTTTTCGCGACCGTTACTTTCGCTCAAAAAGCAAATACAACTTCCCTATTGGTACCACGCCAATACAACTACGCGATATGAAATCTTCGTCTATCCGATTGAAGATTAACATTTGATCCGAAACTATGAGGCATATGCCGTAGTATTATTGGCCAGAACATTGGCGCCGAACTCGGCCATCTTTCAATTATATATACACAGTCAGTCTCGATAAGTCGGCCAAACAGTATCCCGCCTCAAATGGCCGACTTATCGAAAACCATGATATACATTTAATTAAACCGTTTATTAATACACTAATATAATTACATCGCAAAACAATCTTGCAGACTAGCTTGTCTTAGAGAATCGACTTGTTTTCTTCTTATCTGACGTTGTAAATCTTTCATTCCTGACAACACAGAACTGCTTACACTCACATTATTCGATTGCTGTAAATAGTTCAGTAAATTTTGGATGCTTTCTAAAGCTATTTTATGTGAAACTGCAATCGTATGACTTTAATCGTATGATCTAAATTAAAATGCAATGTTTAGCTCCTTGGTTGTATGATTCTAATAGCATGACATATTTATCGTATGATTATAGTGTCTTTTGTTATAACATTGCCAATTATAAGTATTTGTGTAGCCAATATGTAAGTACTGTATATGTATTAGACAATTAATCATCGTTATCATCGTTCGGGTGTGGTCCACCAATTAAATTGAAGAAACTGTATACATCTTACAAATTGTCACGTGATACCGACTCATCCAACTAAAAACTGGAGAGCCGTTGGCCGACTTAACGACTTATCGAGAATTTTTAAATAGTGAAAAAAGGATCCGAAAAATTTTGGCCGATTTAAGCCAAAACCGACTCCAAGACTGACTGTGTATAATTTTCAATTGGACATTTCCTTTTTTATAAGTATCAATCAGACAAAAACGTTATTATTATTATTATTATTATTATGTCGCCGATCAATCAAAAATATCCTGAAAGCCATTTTTGATGTTATTCGAAATGCTAAACTATGGAAGCCAACAACAATTCTAGTTTACGATCAAATAGTATGACGTATAAAATAATTTCATGATGTGTTTGTTACACTAAGGGGTCCATGGATTCGCTTTTATGGAATACTGTATTTACGCCGCGTTGATCTCTCGAAAACATTCTATGTGCATGATGTTGCAATATGCACTGTCTATGCATCAGATGGATGAAAATATTCAAGTCAAGAAACATATTTAAGACATAATTAATCAACGCTAACGATATCAATAATTCTGAATCACAGCTGCCAGTCTACTAGGCACAAGAATAAGATAATGTGACACAAACCAAATCTCCCTTATCGTAGATTATTTTGACTGGAATAACCTTATTACCGGTATCACAATAACTGTGGGGCTTGGCAATATATTAATATGTTGTGGGCTGATAACGAACATTTGAAAGTTGTGTGTATTGATAGTTGCAGTTTCCGGTTTATGTTGACCCAATGTTGTACGTCATGTTTCACCCACATTTGTTCGTACGCAATCGTGCGCAATCGTGCGCAATCACATCCACCCGCAGTATAATACATCCCCCAACAGCAGAGTTTGTTTTTGTATGACAACTCTTAAGCATATCTCTCACAGGGGGCTGTATTGATAATCAATAAAAAGATGCTAATCCTCAAAATAATCTTTCGACGTTCGTCGTTGTGAATTCAATCAATCTCAATTTTACTCTTAATACCAAATTTCTATCTTGTCTATCTTCAGCAAAATGTCGTCTCCAACTGACTCGCTTCCAGAAACCAACGACCCAATTAAGTCTTCAACCAACGATCCAGTTAACTTTTCAACCAGAGACATAATTGAATCTTCAATCAAAGACCTAGTTAAATCTTCAAAACAAGATGCCACGGGAAAAAAGTTACCAAAATGGAAACATCGGTTATGGATATGCGACCAGCACGGCAAACAATTCTCCCTCAAATTCGGAGAAGAACCTGAAGAACAAACTCACATTAGACGCAAACAATGTGGGCAATATTTAATGATATTGCTTGAATATGAAGACGGCGATGGATGTCCACAAGAGTTTGTAAATAACTTTGCTAAACAGTTCTCTATTCCTACATATAAGTATGAAAATCCAACCACTGTCAATCGCTTCAGAAGATACCCGACTTGGTTAAACAATCGCAATAGATTGATATACGGGTTTACAGAATACAAAGATAAATTCTATATGATAGCTGACAAGAACCTTGACTTGTGCATTAATCTATATGGATGGTGCTCCGAATGCAAAATTCTCAGATGCAGTCCTATATGGTGTATTTGTGGTCATAAAGAATTGTCAAATGAATGGACTAGTGGGAATGAAAGCCTCGACAAATTTATCAAGGAAACGCAAACACAAACAGAATCAGCAAATGAAGCCTACTTAGAATGGATTCCGTTTGAAATGTTAAATTGCTGTTCTCACAATTTATCTGCATCCTCGACTATCGGTATGCCAACCTACAGCGATATAGACTTGGTTCTGCTTGAAACATCAGAAGAAACAGACGAACTAGATTTTCAAACGGTAAATAGTAGTTTAATTATATCGAAATGCTTAAAGACCTAGATAATTATTGACTCAATCTCTCCATAGTTATGTGAAAATTATCCGGATATACACAATAAAAATGTTTGGGACATCATCGGTTTCACATATCACACGCATCAGAAAAAATACGCTTTGATTAGAGTATATAGTTCTGAACAGAACTCACACAACAGTGAGCTGTGTCTAAGTTGCACAAGGTGTTTACATCCCGATTCGAGTATATTCTGTTTTCAGTGTAAAGCGCCGAGACCTCCCGACTGGACTACCGGCAATGAGTTCCTGGACTCGTTGATGATGACTTCATGGAAAAACGTTTACAGTAAAGCTGACAATTACATACAATGGGTACAGTTTGAGCAATTGAACAATATTCAAGAAATATCCGACTTTGAATATACACACACAGCCGAGTGGATAAAGGAGACCAATACTACGGGAGTTCTGCTCAAATTGATATATGGCGGAGAGGACGCTCAGTCGTTTGATTTTTATAGGGTAATTAAATATTTGCTCGTAAATAGTTAACGACTTTAAGCAATATTAACATATTATTCTGTCAGCAAATAACTACAGATTATCCGACGATATTAACTCCTGGCAATGTCCGGATTATTGGTGTAACCCACAACCCACAAACTTGTAGTTATTATTTGGTGTTTTACCGCGATTTAAAATCAAGCTTGGATGAATTTATGAGTTTGAGTAGCTATTACGATGAACTTAGAGATATACCATTTGACACGATAACTGACATTGAAGAGGTCGGCTTTGGAGAGGATGCCGTAATTTATACTGCAAACTATAATAATAACGATTCTCCAAAGCGTGTTGCTTTAAAATGGTTTGAAGACTCTGATAAAACCATAACATCATTTATTGCCGAGGTAAGCAAGCCCTAGATAAATATTAATGTAACTGACTTAATCGTCATGTTACTAAATCCTTGTTATTTTATTATTAACACAGGTCAGATGTTATGCAAGATGTCATTACGATTCCTGTAAAATCTATGGGATCACACAACATCCAGAAAAGGGGCATATGATTGTAATGCAAGCTGCCAATAACGGCAATCTTTTTTCTTATTTAAGAAAAAGTAAATGGTTAACCTGGAAAATGAAACTAAATCATTCGTTGCACATTGCAAAGCAATTGCAAAGTATCCATGCTGGAGGGTTAATACATTGTAATATTCATGGTGGAAACATACTCATGCACGAAGAAGAAGGCAATGTTTGTCCAATTATCTGCGATCTAAGACACTGCCAACCAGTAAATTCGTTTGACTGGGGCATGCCAACCATCCAAAGTGTTTTGCCATACATTGCACCAGAAGTCCTTGATACTTGCAAATTTACTGAAAAGGCAGACATATACTCTTTTGGTATTTTGATGTACCAACTTGCCAGTGGTGAGCCGCCTTTTGAAAGTCAGCAGTTTGACGAGCATTTAACAATACAAATTCGTGAAGGACTGCGACCAATGATGCCGGATTCAGCACCAGCGGGATATAAAACCCTTGCAGAGGAATGTTGTCATTCTCAACCTGAACATCGTCCAGACCTTTCAGAAATTATAGAGTATATTAGAGGATTGACCAATCCAAGGACATGCAAGAATGAATGGGACACTATCTATAGGGGAAGCAGCAAATACTCTAGTAGAATATTGCCTATCAGAGAATTACGAGGCAATGGTCTTGAGTCAGATCAGGTAAATTTATAACAAGTGAGTTATTCATAAAAGTCAATGTTACTAATATTTATTTTGTTGAACAGGAATAATAAGACATTTGATGTCATGATTATTTTTAGCATGTCCTCTTCATGCTCATATTGTTCTGTGGAATTTACATGAATATATTTTTTAACTTACAAATTAAGTTGTCATATTTATTTAACAAAAATCAGGTTTGCATTTATTGATACATTTATGATTACTTCTCTGTTCGAAGTCTTTTATTTGTTTTTGGTCAAACCATATGATACGTGTATGCAGTAAAGTGATTTTAGCAGCCTTACAATGCGAAATATTGTATATCATAACAATAAAAATTGGAGTTTGGCGACAACCCAAAATGCTTACGAAAATACCCGCTTCCGTATCATTACACTTTTGCTGACGATATTACGTGATATTTTAATTGCCTACAAAAGGAATTATTTTGTCTATATATACCTTACCGCAATTATAGTGAAAGTACGCAAGCGATAACTTTACACACGATCAGACTTGTGCTGCTGCCAATTGGAAGTATCACATGACCAGGTGTCTATTTACTGTCAAATCGTCACAGTGAAGCTTCACCGTCCCAGCGAACGCATTTTATTCAGGAACGAACTCATTACCAGTTTCATAGATTTTAAATAATGTATTCTCTACTTGCTTAGATGTTCCCGCAGCTACAGTAAACGTGCACGATTTTATTTCGATATCTTTTTAACTCAACTCATATTGACATACATGAAAGCATACGTCGTATCGTATTTAATTTATTTAATTGGAAGAGTAAATTCTTGAATAAAACTCAAACTCGTAAAATGTAAATAAACCGCGAATTACAAGTTTATTCAAAGAGCGTTTGAGTCACTAAATCATAAGCAGTGACGATGTTAATATTGTAAACTGACTTCATCTATAAACAATTGATGTCTTCATACCTGCAGCTGAATCCAAATCGTAGCTATTTGTCGGTTTAGGCAAATCTCCAGTAGGTAAGAGCGTACTAGAATATTTACTCTCCTCGAGACGTGATAAAGGTTTTACATGATTATAATAAACGGCATCCCATATGTCAAAATTGTCCTTGTCCACCTCTTCAATAAGGTTGTTAATATCATTCTGAAGTGTCCGTGCATCTGGACGCTTATCAGGATCAGCATCACAACACCGTTCGGCAAGTTTCTTGTATTCCTCTGGTGCGGAATCAG